TGGGGCCAAAACTTAAGAGCTGGTGAGTTTATTAGGGCTTTATTTCTGTCAGCTTTCTGCTTAAACCATCATATAAGTACTTTTTAGTAGCTGTTTCTGGGTTGTGGTTTTTCACATGAATTAAGCACAGAATAAGCATGTATCCTTCCTCTAGTCAAGTAATTTGAATTACAGTGACCTTTTAAAAATTAAACTTTTCCTGTTTGAAACAGTTTATTTTGTCATTGCTGACTTTTCGGAGAGGACACAACTGACGTGAGCAGTGAAGTGACTTCCTCCTCTGCTTCCCTATGCACTGCTGTTCAGTGTTAAGGTTCATTGTACTGGAGGAGTAAAAAGACAGTGGAGAAAGTTGTAGTAAGTGGATTTGGAGATATAAACCAAGCACTAATATGCATTGGTGCAGTTCTGTGCCCCTCTTAGTTCTTCCTGGAATTTCTCATTCTTTCCATCCCAGTTGTATTTTCTGCAAAGCATGTTGCTGTAAAACTGAGGCATAATAAAGCCACTTCATCTCCTGTAAACAGAAATATTGTTCACCCTGCTACACTGGGACAAGATATTTCTAAAAGCTAATATGTACCTTTGAATTTCTGGAAGGATAGCTAATGTTTTTCTATCAGAAATACATCTCTTTATCCCAGGTTTTGCTTTGAAAATCAGGCAAGTCAACAGTGTCGTAGGCTGTCGTATTGGGGCAACTTACAAATACCTGCAACAAGCACTTTTCTCTGAGAAAACATACTGAAGTCCATGTGAGTGTTGAGGGGTTGCTTACACTAGTACAGACCAAGACGTGGCATTAGTGAGCTGGCATCACCTAATGCCATGGAGAAGGGCCTGTGTGTGTGTACGTGGTTAACATGAGGATGTGGATTCAGGAGTCAGATTACATCACTCACAGAAACTTCCTGTGTGCTTTAAAACCAGTCACTTGTTCAGCCTGTGTTTCTCAGTTCTTCTCCTCTTTTACATAAAAATATTCTTCATAGAGATTCTATAAAAATAAGTACAGTGCAGCACTCAGTGCCATTGCAAGCAGAGCAGATCGGTGCCTTACCGGGTAATATCTAGTGTCATCAATCTCAAACCTTCCTCCCTTCTTGGTCAAGTGAATAAAACCCAAGAGAATTTGAGGCAACTCTTCAGAGGAAGTGTGTGAGCAGTGTCTCTGCTGCTCGTACAGTAAACTCTGTAAGCAATGCATCTCCATGGGGCTTCTGACTTGACATAGTCTTTGGGGGGTGGTGAAATGCTGCATAGGGTGGTGGAAAGGAAGAGCTTTTCTGAGCCTGTGAAGACACATGCAAAATCTAGAAGAAGATTGTGTCATGTCCTGGACATGGGACAAAGGTTCACGTGAAACCTGTCAGCTCTGCTATCTGCTTTAGAGGGTATGAGGCTCAGCAGAGGGACCTGGACAGGCTGGATAGATGGGCTGAGGTCAATTGTATGAGGTTCAACCAGAGTCAGTGCCGGGTCCTATACTGGGGTTACACCAATCTCAGACAATGCTCCAGGCTTGAGGAAGTGTGGCCAGAAGTGCCCAGAAGAAAACCACCTGGGGGCGTTGATTGACAGCAGCTGAATGTGAGCCAGTGTGTGCCCAGGTGGCCAAGAAGGCCACCAGCATCCTGGCTTGTCTTAGCACTAGTGTGGGCAGAAGGACCAGGGCAGGGATTCTCCCCCTGGACACATTGCACCTTGAATCATGGGGTGAGTTTTGGGTTCCTCATGCCAAAAAATACATGGAGGGGCTGGAGTGTGTCCAGAGAAGGGCAGTGGAGCTGGGAAAGGGGCTGGAGCACAAGTGTGAGCAGGAGCAGCTGAGGGAGCTGGGGGTGTCCAGACCAGGAGGCTGAGGGGAGACCTGCTGGTGCTGCAACTGCCTGAAAGGAAATTGGAGCCAGGGGGGTCGGGCTCTGCTCCCCAGGAACATGTGATAGGACAAGAGGAAATGGCCCCAGGTTGTGCCAGGAGAGGTTTAGATTGAAGCTTGGGAACAATTTCTTCCTGGAAAGGGTTGTCAGGCCCTGGCCCAGGCTGCTCAGGGCAGGGGTGGAGTCCCCATCCCTGGAGGGATTTCAAAGCCCTGTAGATGTGGTGCTGAGGGTCATGGTCTAATGGTAGCCTTGACAGTGCTGGGTTAATGGTTGGACTTTTATAACCTTTTCCAGCCTTAATGAGTCTATGATTCTATGATATCTTGAGAACTTATTTTATGCTTCTCTAACTGTATGTGAACGGTCATTTTCCATTATTGCTAAACACTAAAGGCAGGAACAAAAACCAAACCTTCTGTGCTTGTGTTCTCTCCATTACAGAAACAGGAGGTGTGTGGAAACCTGACACTGCAGCATCACATGCTTGAACCAGTGCAAAGGATTCCTCGTTACGAGCTTCTCCTAAAGGACTATTTAAAGAAACTTCCGGAAGAGTCTCCAGACAGGAAAGATGCTGAAAGTATGTGTCAACTCCTCTCTGTCTAGTGAGCATAATAAAATCTTATAGTTCTTTCTTCATACGTTCAGATACTTTCAACCAGGGCTGTGGCAGAAATGGAGATTAGAATGAATCGTATTATTGCCAAACGTAGCACCCAGGGATTTTGAATGCTCTTATAGTAGAGAAGAAAAAGGCTGATATGTCAGATCTAGGAATGCAGAGGGCTTTGGCAAATAAACAATGATAAAATATTGAAGTTTGTGATGGTAGAACACTTGGCATTTTTATTTAATCCACTGAATGACCAAGGGCAAATAAGGAGGACATCCTGCAATAGCTGAAAGAATAAGAATGGTCTTAAATGTATGTGCTTCCCTAGGAAAGCAGGATAAGTGTGTTAACACAAAGAAACAGGAGAAACAAGCTTCTGTTGGGTTCCAGGAATTTGTTACCTTGTGCAAAACTGGAAGCACACAAGCCCTGTTTTAGGAAAACACTCTACAGAGGTGCTTGTGAAGACTTAAGTGAGGCTGAAGTTAACTTCTAGTAGTTAACTTCATCTAGAAGGTGATGTGTGCTTTGGCTTGCCCAGACTTTTAGATACACATGGACCAGCACAGAGACCAGCTGAATATCTGAAGTGATTGTATCTTTAACTTCCAGTTAGCATTCCTTTTACTTCATGGAAGGAAAAAAATATAATACTTGCTTTTGCAACAGCAGCTTTGCAGGAAAAACATTAATGGGGGAGGTGAAGCCCCCCCCCAGGTGCCATTAACAGATACAATCCAAAGAATGCATAACTGTTGCTGCCTTTATTGCAGAGTCACTGGAGCTCATATCTACAGCAGCAAACCATTCCAATGCAGCCATCCGGAAGATGGTGAGTGGAAATTGCATCATTCAGTTGGAATCTGATGGAAATGGTTGAACCAATGGTCCCTCACTGCAGTAGGGTCAGTAAAGTGGGCTGGGAAGGATTCTCAAATACAGTGAGTCAGGCTTTAAGCATCAGTTGAATATTTGAGTTGTGTTTATCATAAACAATCCTATTGCAGTTACCCTGCATTGTTGGGCTGAAATTTCACTTTCCTAGTTCTTGAGGACCCAATGGGTTGAGAAGGGAGGTCTTCATAAAACTCATTTATTTTTCATTGAAAAATATTTAAAGTTAGGTCTATTCTGAAGGTGTCTGCAGATTTTCACACCTTTTTGTTTTTAGCCCTATGGTTCCTCACCAGACTGAAGGTTGTCTTGGTTTGATTTTGCCTCCTCTTAAGTGTACAGAGGGTGCATTTAGCCTGTGTTAGTAGCTTTGGGAAGCTACACTGGGCAGTCTGAGATCCTGGAGATTTTGAATGTTAGCACATGCTTTCCATATGGAGCAGCTAGTGCATTACTCTTAAAGAAGATGGACTTTATAGTTGCAGGTGTTATCCCTTCTGTGCACCCAAGGGCCTCAGGAGCTTTTGTACCTAATAGTTCTGAAATGCCACGTGTTCAGCTTAACACTCACTGACCATTTGTGAAGAGAAGTTTTACATCCCCTTCCATATCACACCCTTAGTTCCTTCTGGCCACAGGGGACATCAGGACATCACGTTTCCTGTGACTGCTACAGGGAAGTAATCAGCTGATGTCTGTGTATTTTCAGCGTGTCTCAGTGAAAACCAGTTTTGAAACCATCTGTTTCTATTTGAGTCTAATGTATTCTCTTCATCAGGATATATTTTAGTTGAAATGTTCCTGGTTTGAACAACTATTTTGCCAGGGCCTGAGTGCAGTTTCTCTACAGACAGCAGGCATATGAAGCCACCAGCTGCTTGCTTTTTATTTTACTATAAAAAAACCTATTAGAAAAGGTTTATAGTTTTGCACCTCTTGTTTATTGCTGATTAGAATCTGAAGCCTTTAATCAGCACTTCTTTTTGCATTGAAATCTGTAATTAGTCACAGTCACAGAGTAGTCAGGGTTGGAAGGGACCTCTGAAGATCATCTAGCCCAACCCCCCTGCCAGAACAGCATCACCTACAGTGGATCACACAGGAACACATCCAGATGAGTTTGGAATGTCTCCAGAAAAGACTCCACAACCTCTCTGGGCAGCCTGTCCCAGGGCTCTGTTACCCTCACAGTAAATAAGTTTTTCCTTATGTTTAGCTTGACCCTCCTGTGCTCCAGTTTGTGCCCATTGCCCCTTGTCACTGGACACTGCAGAAAAGTGGCCCCTTCTTCCTGACACTGCCTGTAGATATTTATAAGCATCTATGAGATTCCCCCCTCAGTAACAATAGGTTACAATAGTAATTTTAGTGGAGGTTGGAATGAATTGTTGGTGCTTCCTCCTGTTGTGATGCAGCAGAAGAAATAAATCATGCTTCCAAAGCTGACTCTTCCTAGAAGTGCAGATAACCCTCAGCTTTTGCATCTGCTCTTAGTGTTCTCATTTCTCCTCTAAAAAAAACCCTCTTGGTAAGTTATTTGGGTTTTGTTTCTTTGATTGTTTTTGAATTAGTGGGATCTCTTGCTCAACTTCCTGCTTGGTGGAGAAAATTACTGCTTTTGGGGGGTTGAGTGATTTGTTTATTTTTGTCTACAATCATCCCCCTCTTTTGTTTTTGCAGTATGTTTAACTATTTGTTTTTATGTGGGATTCTTTGAATAATCATTGGTCAGAAGACTTGATTAGGACAGGAACTGGTGTGATGTACATTAGTGGTGAAAATTCTCAAGTCACATGAGGGTAAACAAGGTGTGTGAAGACCTGAAATTCCATCTTAATCTATAGATAGGTAGAGGTATGATCTAGACATGTATTTGGGCATATATTTAGGTGTGATTGCATAGATCTCTGTCCTCACTTCCTGACAACTTGCTGACAGTGCCATTTGCAGCACATCAGTCCAGCTCGTGGCTAAAAGCCAGACCTTTCCAAATGCTCTAACTCAGTAGCAGGATTTACACACATTTGTTATTTTGGCTTGTTCAAGCTGCTGCAGAGCTTCATACAGCTGCTGCAACTGGGTGAACTAGTTCCCTTTAACCACTTGAATGCTGTGTGGAGGGACTTCAGTATTTGGATGCCTTAATGTAAAAGTAGAAACAATGCTTTGCTGAAAAGGAAACAGTAATCATTTCATAAACAATTTTGACCAAGACATAAAGATACCTGAATGCCTAAATTGTATTTTAAGCATTTTGTCTTGCTCTAGTTCAGAGGTACTTTTTGCCATGGAGTCCCCTGCATAGAACTGCAGCATTTAAATTTTATTTTATTTTTTTAATTTACGTTTTTGTTTTGTATTTGCAGGAAAAGATGCACAAGCTTTTGGAAGTCTATGAGCGACTCGGTGGTGAGGAGGATATTGTTAACCCAGCCAATGAGCTCATTAAAGAAGGACACATTCAGAAACTTTCAGCAAAGAATGGCACAGCACAGGATAGGTATTTATTCCTGGTGAGTTTTTCTGTTGGTCCCTTACTTTCACAGTTGTGCTGGTAAATGCTACATTTCCATCTTCCCAATCTCCAATACAAAAAGCATTGACCAACTGAGCCAGTTACTCCTTCCTCTGGGCAGTCGTTTTCCCTTGGTGCATTTATCTTGAGGATTTCCTTCCCTCTTCCATGTTTATGCCTTTTTTGATGGCCTGGCAGGCCCAAAGGGGTCTTCTTATCTCTCCCCTCAGAGGCTGTGTTTCTAGGAAGAGCCCAAGGAGATGCATTCCCAGCTGTACCACCATGTTGCCTAAGATGGCCAGCTCTCACTGATGCTGAGAGATTAGCTCTCCTTTGCTTTTGAGGTAGTTGAACTGGTACTAGAGAGGGGAAGAGGAGGAAGTGGCTGGCTGATGTACTTCTATCTGTCCACTTCTGTCAAGTAATGCTGTGTGAGGCTAGCTTGCTCCTTCAGGCTCTTCTTGAGAACTGCATCTTAGACTAAAGCACACCTGAGTCCCAAACTATCAAAATGCAGGTTGTGTCCAGCATGTAATCCCTCCACTGACGTTCTTCCCTTGTTGCAGTTCAACAGCATGGTGCTATACTGTGTGCCAAAACTCAGGCTGATAGGCCAGAAGTTCAGTGTTCGAGAGAAGATGGACATTGCAGGACTGCAGGTTTGCATCTCTCCTTCTCTCTCTCTGTGATTCTTCCTCACTGGATAGCATCAGATCCCCACTGAATCCAAAAGTATGTTGAAATAGAAAAAATATTTCTAAAATCCAGCTTTGGGTCTTTTTTTAAAAAATTATTATTATGAGGCAATAATTCAAAGGTGGGTAATAAAACGATAACCCTATCCATGCTGTGATTGAAGGCCTTCCCTTGTCACCCAGCTGACACAGGAGCTGTAGGGGCCTCCTTGATGAGACAGATACAGACGTTTTACAGCAAGAAGAGTAATTATGAAACAATCCTTTGTTTTTTCCATGTCTGAGCTATATCCTGGGTGATAAGTATTTCAAAGAATGAATATATTTGTAAGTCACTTGGTTGAAAGACAATGGAGACTGGTCAGAAGATGATATGTTCTTTTTATAGGTCCAAGAAATTGCCAAGCAAAATGTGGCTCATACATTTTCAATAACAGGAAAAAAGCGATCGCTGGAACTACAAGCCAGGTTTGTTGCTTGTTCTGTGTTCTGAGGTTGGTGAATGTTTATGGAGAATCATAGAATCGTAGGGATTGGAAGGGACCTCTGAAAATTGAGTCTAAGCCCCCTGCTGCAGCAGGAACACCCAGGGCAGGTCACACAGGAACGTGTCCACATGGGTCTTGAAAGTCTTCAGTGAAGGAGACTCCACAGCCTCTCTGGGCAGCCTGTCCCAGGGCTCTGTCACCCTCACAGGAAAGAAGTTTCTCATGTTGAGGTGGAACTTCCTGTGTTGTCACTTGGTGCAGTTTCCCCTCATCCTATCACAGGCACCACTGAACAGAGACTGCCCCTTTCTTGACACCCACCCTGCAGGTATTTATGGACATTAATAAGGTCCCCTCTCAGTCTTCTCCTCTCTAGACTAAACAGCCCCAGGTCTCTCACTCAGCCTTTCCTCAAATGACAGATGTTCCAGTCCCTTCATCATCCTTGTAGCCTCCATTTGATTCTTTCCAGCATCTCCCTGTCCCTCTGGAACTGGGGAGCCCAAAACTGGACACAACACTCCCAGTGTGGTCTTAGGAGGGCAGATTAGAGGGGTAGGAGAACCTCCCTGGACCTGCTGGTCACGCTATAATACATCCCAGGGTACTGTTGGCTTTCTTGGCCACAGGGGCACTTTACTGTCCATGGAAACTTATGATCCAGGGCATGTGGCTGTGTCATAGCTTTGAACCAGGAGATGAGCAGCAGAGATGTGCAACTTATGTATGCAAGAGAGCATAATGGTCCTAAGCCAGACTGTGTTAAAGTGCTCTGTTGACTTGCTTTATTGAATGCTTATCATATTTATAGTAGAGCTTGTAGGTTCCACTAGGTTAAAAATTCACACATTTTTGGCATTTAGGTGTTAATAATTGAGGTAAATAATTATTAATAATGTTTTTAAAATAGTAGGTAGCAAAGCTAAAATCTTGATGGATATAAAGATGTGATGATATGAACTTACTGAACATATTTGAAGCAGAATTATGATGTTTTCTGTATTTTTTGTTTGTTTGTTTTAACAGAACAGAAGAAGAGAAGAGGGAATGGATCCAGGTTAATACAAAACCCTTATGATATGGGTGGAAATCACCATGCAGTCAGCACCTTCTGGTTTTAAAATTATCTGTTCTGAAGGAGTGCAGCTGTGTGAGGAAGCTGGGTGGGCCATCCTGGTGGAGCTGCTTGTAGAGAAGTGTGGAGCCACAGACAGGGTCTCCAGGCAGCACATGAGGGCTTCAGATGGGTTTCATGTCCTGCAGTCCTGAAGCCAAGGAGATAAGAGACTGAGGAATCAGGGATTATTTTCTTGCAGCCTGGCTTGTAGAGGCCCTGTCTGATAGCAGCCTGAGTTCTCAACTTGAACAGTAGTGAGTTAACAGCACCACTTATAGTTATTAAGGTTTTTAAGTTTCCATTTTCTTCATGCAAGTCTGAGGATTTTTCACTAACGTGATGATACCAACCATGTTGTCTGAGAGAATTTTTCCAAGGCTCCTTTTGTGATACCTCTCATCTTTGCTGGAATTTTTGTCTTAGGTCATTCAAGCAACAATTGAAAAGCACAAACAGAACAGTGAGACATTCAGAGCTTTCAATAGCTCTTTTTCTCAAGAGGAGGAGCACCTTCCTGATTCCTCAGTAAGTAGGGGTGCTTTTTTCTACTCCTTTGCCAACAACTAAAGAAGACTTACCAAGCTATCTTTAAAATAGGGTAGTCTTGTTCTTGCTTTTAGATGAGGTTACAGTACAGCCAGCTCCACATCTCTGGCTCTCAAATGCTTATCAATCAATGCTTATCAATCATATTTACTCAACTATGCAGGTTTGGAATGAATTACCCAGGGTAGTGCCATGCAAGAAACAACCAGGAATGTTTTCCAGAGTAGTGGCTCATTTAGCATAACAGTTGTAACTCTTCAGTGTGATGGGTGGTTGTCTGTCCTGGAATGATGTTTAGTGTGCCTGGCACATTTTGTTCATTACCTTTCCCCATCACATTTTGGGATTGTTTCCCTTTTCTTATGTTACTGTTATTTTTAAGGTTTTAAAAGAGTTGAAAGTAATGCAGTATGTTTCAGACAGTATACTCTTCAACTAAATATGCAGCATAGTCTTGAAATTTTATTCTATTTCACTACAGCTGTAATGTCTTACTCTATGCTGTATTTGCTAGGAATTTTGTTTTGGAACTGTGCACGAGGGTGATAACCATATTTCTTATTTTGAGTTGAAAATGATGATGGTAACCTTAGTGAGAGTCAGTGGCTACAAGCTAAAGAGGAGACGGGCTGGGAGAGAAAAATCAGTAGGAATTAGTGGCTTCAAGCTGCAACAGGGCAGGTTTAGACTGGAAATTAGGAACGTTTTTTTCACAGAAGGAGTGGTCAGAGCCTGGAACAGGCTGCCCTCCCTGCCCAGGGAGGTGGTGGAGTCACCATGCCTGGGTGTGTTTAAGGGTCATGTGGATGAGGTGTTGGTGGATCTGCTTTAGGGGAGAACTTTGTAGAGTAGAGATGATGGTTGGACTTGGTGATCCCAAGGGGCTTTTCCAACCTGAATAGATTTATGGTTCTATGAATTCCATGCAGAGCTTGTGTGTATGTTGATGATGTTGGTGGTCAAACATGGTAGATTTGGAGTACAGGGAGAGAAGGTCCATCTGAAGAGATTGAACTTGGGGATCTTTCTATCTTCCCCCTCCCTTGCCCTCCTAAATGGTGGTGGTGGTGGTACCTAACCATATTTGAAACCTCTCCTTTGACAGATCTGATTCAGTGATTCAATAATGCTAGATTTTTATCTCACTGATTTCCTAGGGGACTCAGGAGAGATGTTAGATTCTCCTTTCATCCCAGCACTAATCAGACTGACAGCGAAGATCTTCACAAACCTCTGCAGAGTCTAGGATCCTGTTGCTGCTAGCAGCCAGCAATGAGCCGACCTCAGACCATGGCATAGCTTACTGATCAGCAACTATTCATTAGCTGAAAATACTTGGAAAAATTGGAAAATAATCAATTAATGTCTGTATTTTTAAGTTAACCTATTGCTGCCTTCAGAACCAGGATGTTCTGATGGAAAAAATTAATTTGCTAATAAGCAAACTTATAGGCACACTTCTTTCTATCCAATAATGCACAGTGTCTGTTCAACTTCAATATTATTATTATCTTGCATTATAAATTCCATTTTACTTTATTCTGTGTCATGGTGAAGCCATAAAATCCAAGCAGAGCAGAAGTCTGGTTTATCTCCTGGCTGTGATATGAAATGCAGTATGCACCTGAATTTCTTTTATGCCAGAATGCTATCCTGCATCTTTAGGGGGTTACCTAGATAATCAGCTTTGAGAAATTATGTTGTGGCTAAATGTGGAGAAGTGGCTGTAGCTGAAGGTTGTTCTGTAAGGAAAACTGAACAAATATTGAGGTTTCTTAGTAGCCATATGCTGCTGCAGGCAGCATCGACCAACCCTCCCTCATCATCTTTATGGAATGCTGAGCAGTGTGCTTTGGAGGAAAAAAATCACAATAATCTTCCTTTTTTGCTTTCACAAATCAAGAAATAGATATGCACTCGTGGATTCCAGACTGGGTCTGTAAAAGCTACTAGAAATTGACCTCTGGTTCTAATAAGGCTGTAGGAAAAGAGCCCCTTTGCTGTTCTCCCCTCCTTGGCCACACGTTTGACCTGTTCCAGTGCTGCTGGGTTTCAGTTGCATGAGCATTGCATGCCTCTGCACACAATTCTTCCCATTCTTTTCTTTTCCCTGCTCACTTCTTGGAGCTTGTACAAGCTCTAAGGGTTGCTCTGCAGCCTGGGATTTGCCTGTGGAAGACTTGCAGTTTCTTGGAAGTGCAGAGATCTGATGTTTGACCTGATTCTTAAGATGCCTTGTGCAGTAATCAACTCCCGCCTGCCAGGAAGGGGACATTCAGCATCCCTGCCAGTCAGGCCCCTGCAGGGTGACTGCAGCAGTGGTCTTTCAAAGAGGTCTTTTCAGAAAGCTGCAGGGTCCCTTTGTGGCTTAGTTCCTTCAGAAAGAGGACACTCATTTCCCTGTTTTCCATTTTCATCCTCAGCATCTCAAGGCTGCGTGAAGGTTTTTTTAAAGCCATGTGAAAGTGTCCCCAGGGACACCTCTTTTTTTACCTCTGCCTGATCTCCGAGAGTCAGAGGCTCGTGGTGTGGGGGAAGGACCAGGTTTGTGCACTATTAGGAGGCTGGCAAGGAGATCTGATCTCTGCAGAAGCAGCATCCCTAAGCTTTTAAGGTTGGGAGTGCTTCTGTTAGTTAAGTTGTGATTTTTATATCATGTTAAATCATTGTTATTTCCCACCCCCATTTCTGTTCCTCCCCCTAGTTCTGCCATAGTTCTGATAAACATGTGAATAACTGTCTTCCTCCTTACCAAATTTTACACACTCTGAGTAGAAATGCTAACAGAAGGGGGAGAAGCCCTTTTTTCTTTTTTTTTCCAGGTTTAGAGTATTTAATCTTTAGAACACTATTCCCAATAAACATTAAAGGGCATGGGCATCCGAATGGGCAGCTAGAGAAATTTACTCTTCTCCCTCAACTTCCTGAAGGTTTTCTCAATCTCTCCTTCAGACTCCAGTTTCTCTCCACGTTTTTCATTTCCTATCCCAAGTCCAGAGTCACAGCACATACGTCCTGTTAACTGGGCAGAGGGATCTAAATTCCTGAGCTGATGATTATTCCAGTGTGGAAAGAAACCCCTTTCCACAGGATTGAGGAAGAGATTATATGAGGACCCTAGAGTTGCTGGGTTTTTGTGGAGGCAGAAATAGTTGGCTAGAGTTGAGTACATGATGCTTCCCTTTAATGAAGTTGCATTCCCTAGGGAAGTGCTCTGGGGGTGGCACCGCCTTAGCCCCAGGGGAGGAGGCATTTGCGAATTTTCTTCTTCTTAACAGTCAGTTGATTGTGTTAGGATATAAATAGACACAACTAGGTACCAGAATGAGTAGCCCTCCCATTTGGCTGCTTACTCGAAGCTACAGTTCAGGCTGTTTCTAATGACAGAGGTGAAGCCTTCTTGCTTTCCAATGGAATGGAGTGCTAGAAGACAGTGGAGAGTTGGATACTTTTGAAATATGAGATGTTGCACAATTGGAATAGGAAGAATGATCTGTGGGAATGATGTGAGAATTTATCAGAGAGAGTGTGATCTTTTGAGAAGCTCTGTAAACAAACTCCCTGCAAATCAATGACAGATGAGATAGTTTTCCTTTTGGTGTGTAACCTGTGATTTTGGTCTACATAAGCTTGTTATGCGCCCTCAGTGTTGAATCCATCTCAATGCCAGTTTGCATTTGTTAACCAGAGATGTGTTGCAATTCAGCAAATCTTAACTGAGGACTGTTGGAATGGAGTAAATATTCTTCCTCCTCCAGCAGTTACTGCCTTCATGGCAGGGCTCAGAAGTGCAGTTCCAGCCTGCCCTCTGGCTCCCTATAGCTCTGCTGGGGTTGGTGGCACTGGCTGCAGCCACCAGCAGGCATGGCAGTGTCCTGCCCTCTCCAGTGTCACCCCCTTTGGGGCCACCCAGCATGTGTGGGTGACTGAGGGGTGTTTGAGGCCATGTGCAGGGAAACTGTTCGCCAGCAAAGAGTTGAGGGGCTAAAAGGAAATGACGACGCCAAGTTTTCTTTTTCAGTGTTTCATGCATTTTAGTCCATGTTGAAATGGTTCTGTCTCCTTCTGTTCCTCCCAGATAGCCAGCACCAGCTCGGTGGAGTCGATGCCAGGAGCAGATGGTGGTGGTGGTGCATTTGGAGGGGTAAGGAATTTGAAGCTAATACTTGTGGTAGAGCAAAGCCAGGGCAGGGAGTGGAGGGTTGGTGGGTTGTGCTTCTTTCGTAGCAGGAGAAAAACCCAGAGGTACTTCAGTATATCAGTTAATATTGTGCTGTCTGGTGCTGCAGCTGGTCTGGCCTTCTTGGCTCAGCTAAACCCACACCTACTTCCAGGGTTTGCACCATCAGTGAATTTAAATCCTGTTCCAGAGGCATATATTGCACCTGAGAGTGACCCTGGCTATGGGCAGCCTGGCTGGAGGGAAGTTGGTTGTTACATTTGTGTCCTTGGGGATTTTTTTTCATTTGTTTTTAAATTCTGGTGGGAGCTGCACTGAAAGCCTGGAGGGGAGGAGAGCAAAAAGAGACAAGGAAACCTCGCTGGTAATACTGTGCAACCCAGGATTTAATCTCCAGAACTGATGTTTGATTAACACTTCATTGGTGTTCCTGCCAGTAGAGGGGAGGAGGTGACAGTACTTTGATGTGTTTCTGGGCTGTAAGGGGCTGCCTTCTGCAAAAGCAAAATACACTTTTAAAGGTATTTTTCATTTTGTTCTGTACAACATCCCTGACTGCTGCTGAGTCAAACCAGATTATTTGAGTCCATAATAATGACTATTTTTTAGAATTCTTCTCTCTCCCTTCTAAAATGTATTCTGAGAATAATAGATTTTCAGGCAATGCCTTAGGAGCAGCTGAGTTCAGTAAAAAAAGTCCCAAGAAGAAGAAACAACAACAAAACCCCTGTCTGCTGAGACATACTATAGGATCTTATTATAGGGTGTTAGCATGACCTTATAGATCACAAGGAACCCACCTTGCAGGCTCTGCCAGACCTCTGGTAAGCAGAGGTTACCTCTTGTAACCTACTGGTAGAGCTCATAGAGTATCAATGAAAAGCTGTTAAACAAGCCAGCAACCTGACCTACACCAACAAGAGCTTTTTAAAAATAAGTGTTTGTAGTTATTGTACTCTGTGCTGTTTATTGTTTGTTCACATTTCATATCTTCTCTAAGCTATTTTTAAATTATTTGTAGTCAGTTTTGGGGTTAGTGTCCCTGGTCCTTGACTTAGAGGTGCTATAGTGAGCTAGCTACTTATCAAAGAATATGCTTTATATAGTATTTTAAAACAAACACATAAAAATTTCTACTGGTTTTAAGTTTCTTAGGGAAATGTAACTTTTAGTTGTAATTAAATTGTTTACAAAAGACATTTTTATTTTATTATTAATAGCTCTGTCATTGATTTGTATAGTTATCTTGACACATTAAGTAATTTTCCTTAAGTTAAATTTTCCTTAAAGAAAAATTTAATTCCTGAGATAGAAATAAAAATGGAGTCAATCAAAAAAACAAGGCTAAAAACATCCAATGTTGTGTATCATTGATTCTGGGATCTCGTTCTGCTGTCTTATGGCAAATGGAGAACATCAGCATGAGCAATGAATTCAGATGTTTGTTGCAGCTGCAGGAAATACTACTTTTTAATAATAACATCCCTTGAGAAACATCTCAGTGCGTGAGCAAGTACATGCTGTGCTTAAGAGCTTCCACATGCAAACCACTTGGTGGTAGTGGTGGTTAGCAAACCAGCATCTCCTTCCTGTGGTTCTGGTGTCTCCTGAAGGCTCTGCTGGGGTTTTCCTCAGAGCTGCACATCCCCATAACCAGGCAGTGAAAACCTGCTGCAGGAGTGTCATCTGCTTGCTGTCCAGTGCTGTGGTTCACTGCCTGCTGCCCTGCCCTGCCCTGCTGGCACAGGTTGTGCTCAACCTTCCCCTGGCACAAGGGAAGGACAAGTGCTCAAGTGCAGTGGAAGATTCTCTCACATGTACGACGCTGACATACAGAGAGAGACAAACTAAACCATTTTGCTGCATTACAAAGTACAAAATGATATGATATGAAATGATATGAAAATGATATGATTTAAAATAATTTCTCACATATATTCAGCATTTCCAGAAGCACCTGCTGATGTTCTGTCCTATGGGGAGTGTCTCCAAACACTTAATTAGTCAATGGGAAGTACACAGCTGGGTAAACATGCTGAGGAGGAAAAGATTTGAAACCCCTTTGTTGCTCATGTCTGCCTGAATAAGAATCTCATCATAGGATCATGAAGTTCCAACCCTCCTGCCATGAGCAGGGAACCACCAGACCAGTTGCACAAAACCTCATCCAACCTGGCCTTAAAAACCTCCAGGGATGGGGCATCAACAACCTCCCTGGGCAACCCATCCCAGTTCCTCACCACCCTTAGAGTGAAGAATTTTTTCTTAATATCTGACCTAAATCTCTCCTCTCTCAGTTTAAAACCATCACCCCTTGTCCTGTCACGGTCTTCTCTGATGAAAAGCCCCTCCCCAGCTTTCCTGGAGCCCCTTTAGGCAGTGGAAAGTGCTCTAAGCTCTTCCTGGAGCCTTCTCTTCTCCAGGCTGAACACCCCAACTCTCCCAGCCTGTCTTCATGGCAGAGCTGCTCCAGCCCTTGGATGATCTTGGTGGCCCTTCTCTGGACTCTCTCCAACAGGTCTATATCTTTCTTGTGCTGCGGGCACCACTCAGACTGGGTTTCTATTTCATGTCCAGCACTGAGAGGCTTAACTTCTACCTCCTGGCCCGGGCAGAATGACATCTGTAGCAAGTAATAAATGACAGAAAAAGAGACTCCTGAGCCCACTGGTTTTCTTGCTGTTCTACCAGCTTTTCAGCAGCCAGTGGAGGCTTCAGAGGTTCACTGATGCGGGGATGTCTGCTTCCCTAGGCAGCCAAACCACAGATCATCACCTGGAAGTCACTTAGCACAAGTTGTACCTCTTACTGGGGAATACACTCTTTTTCCACCAAAATTTTAAAGTCAAAGGATTCTGTAAAGATGTAGAGACTTAAATGTAGATGCAGAGCAAAAGCAAATTGATGGTCAAAGCAGCCTGGGCTGGAAGAAGGCAGTATAGATCCTGGCTCTGAACATATTTTGTGCAGGTGTTTTTCCTATGGGACTCATCAGCTTCAGAACAGAGAAAGGTACACCAAGAAAGATGAGAAATACAAAACTTACTCAAGTGCATTGGTCCCAGTGCAGTCCAGCTGAAGCTAGGGCAGCTTTGTATTAGCTTCCCTCTTAACATCAACAGTAATTAACAAAGCTTGTGAAGTAAAGGACACAGCTTCCAAGTGACTCTTAAATTTATCTTTGATGAGCAAGGTTTGTGCATTACATGGTACATCCCTGTTTCTACAAAAACTTCTGTTCAGATGGTATATAGTTAAGTATGTATGGCAAGGTCAACTTTGGAGCCATCTCTAGGTGGGAAGTGGGGGCTGCCCATGCAGGGATGGAATGCAAAGAGCTTCTTAATTCTTCCCTGGTGTCAGCATTTAAATAGCATAATACTAAACGAGCCTTTCTTCTGTGATTGCTCGTTGGAGTTTGCCAAGTTGTAAAGAAAATACATTTTCAGTTTTATTATCTTCTCTACAGCTGCAATAACAATGTTTCAAACTCTTCTGTTTTCACTGTATCCTCATAATGTTTAGAAATATTATGAAAAATGGTATTCATCAAACACTTCAAGATCTCTTTCTACAGAGCCTTTTTTGATTACTGAAATGAATATTAAATGCTGCTTGTATGCCACAGTGCAAGCTAAAATACAATAATTTAAAATAAATATAATGGTCTAAAATAAAATCTCATGCATAACTGTTATAACAAATATAACA